GGAAGAAAAACTAGAAATATAGGCAAGTTAATATTAAAACCAGTGTAAGGCACAAAACACAATGAGAGCTAACTACTTAATGATTAAAAGTCAAATGGTGCCAAACTGCGTCCACAAGAAATAGCAACTGCAGGCTGTCACCAGGCTATTAGAGAACAATCTTTGCTCAACACACCTGCTTACCTCCCTGGAATAATTGCTTGTAGAAATGTAACCACATGTATAAACAAAGAAAATGTCCTTTTGCAATAATCTATTGTATATAAGCTGATGCCTTGCTTTTGCAAAATGCACTCAGATACAACTTCCTTGAGTTGTTGTGTCTGTTTGTCACTTGCCGAATCCTTGCCCACCGTTCCCGGGGTCCTGTTCCCGTCGGACTGATTGCTCCCGGCCGAGCTGGTCCGTCGCAGAGAGACAGAGAGGAAGATCTTCTGTCCGATGATTCATTCCCCAAGTGACCGCAATGGCCAGTGCTGTGCAGATCCGAAGCCAGGAGCCTGGAGCTTCCTCCATGTCTACCATGTGTGTGCATGGTCTCAAGGCTTTGGGCTGTCCTCCACTGCTTTCCCAGGCCACAAGCAGAAAGCTGGATGGGAAATGGGGCTGCCAGGATTAGAACCAGCGCCCATATGGGATCTTGGCACGTTCAAGGTGAGGATTTTTGCCTCTAGACTAATGTACTGGGTCCAATGTTTGAATATCTTAAAAACAGGACATCTCAGAGTCAGAGCTTAGTTTAGACATTATCTGAAATACTGGCATGCCACATGGGCACCTGTGGTCATGTCAGATGCCAAATCCTGCTATTGCAGCTGGTAAAGCAATGGAAGATGGCCCAAGTCTTTGGCCCCTTTTACCCATGTGGAGATCTGGAAGAGGCTCCTGGCTCCTGGATTTGGATCAATTCACTGTGTTCATTTAGGAAATTAACCAGCAGATGGAAGTCTTTATTCTTTCTCTCTCTCCCCTACACCCTCTTTTTTTTTTTTCTGTAACTCTGCAGTTTAAATGAAAAATAAATAATTTTTTAAAATGTTTGAAAGAAAAAAAACCACTAAGGGAAGAGTTGCGATTTTAAAATAAGAAACCATTTTACTTGGGGCCAGAGTGGTTGCTCCCAGGCTAATACTCAACCTGCAAGCTCAAGCCTCTCTTATACATGGGCACCTTTTCATGTCCCGCTGATCTGCTTCCAGTTCAGCTCCCTGCCTGGTAAAGTAGCAGAGGGTGCTCCCCCAGGAGCCTTTTCATTTATTTATTTTTAATTTTTTTTATAATATATATATATTTTTTATTTTGTCAATCTTTACATAGTTAATTTGGGCAAAAAGGGTCAAGGGCTACAGGAAAGTGGGTAAGACTATTATTTCCATATTGTTTCCTTCATATATCTGAGGTAGAGGGGGATATTGAGGGAGAAGCCCCACCCGGTTTCCCACCCACCCCAAGTCCCGCATGTGGGGCATGCTCTGAGATACTCGTTGAAGTGGTTTCAATAGGTCACCAGTTTTGAAATTGCTGCCAATCTTGCCTCTCCAAACACAATGAGGTTGTTGAAAAATCCATTAATTGACATTGTCCATCATAGCGTCTCTATTTGCCCGGTATTTTGTTGCCAACCTATAGCTGAGGTGGTTGATTAACTTGTTCCATCTTCTGTCCCTTCATGGTTAGGGTTCTGAGTCTGGCATTTCAATTGGGGAGATCACCAAAGAAACTTCGTCTGAGGTGTTCCCAGGCCAGATACTTGTATGCACCAGCAAGCACAGGGCCCAGCACAGTCCATTACCTGGTCAGCTGGTAGTTGCAATTGCTGGGTTGGTTCTGTTTTCAGCCCCACCTTCTACTGGAACCAATGGGTGTTGCAGTCCAGCCTGGTTCTGCACAGCACATACTTGGTCTTCACCGAAACCAGTGGGAGCTGCATCCTGATGAGAGCGGCCCACAATAACCCCCACCAGGCCCACCCCCTACCCTGGTTTGCCAATATGTGTGGCAGACCAGTCCAATCTGTCCCACATCCCCCCTGGCTCTCGTACATGGCAAATGGCATTGAAGCTTGGATCCATCTAACCAGCTCAACAGTCAAGCCTTCACGGGTGTGGTTGAGTGCCTCTCTGTCTAGCTACCCCAGCCCCTGTCCTAGTTCTCGTGCCCTCCCGTGGGAGTGGTAACCCAAGAGGGGGGAACCCACTATTTCCCTCCCAGGTCTCTCACTCCCGGATTGTGCACTTTCCAGGTGGTTCTGCAGTTTAACTTGACAGGATTAGCCCCAGCGCCAGTTTCTGCCAGCTGATGCTACGGCTATGCCCAAACAGCCCTCTCCCATTCTAATTGTAGGTTGCACCCATAGGAACAATCCACCCATCCTGGCTTTTCCCTGATCTAGTCCACATGAGGCGCACAGGTGTTGTAGCCCTGCTTAGTCTGGTCTGCCCCCATCCCAGTTCATGCTCTCCAGTGGGAGTAGCTGTCCAGCAGGGGAACCTCCCCTTATTCCCCCGCTGGCTCTGTCCCCTCCCCTCCTGTTTCTCACGTGTGCTGGACGGGCACTGCAGTCACATCCGGCACAGTCAACCTCATCCTGGCATTCTGTAGTGTGGACTGGTTTTTATCGCAACCAAACCTGGCTCGACCCTTACTCTGTTCTGGTGCTCGGATTTGCCAGTGATGACGTTAACTGATTAGCCTGGTCTGCCCCCAATCCATGCCTAATGTATGCCAGTGGGAAACTTCTTGTGGCCTGCTCTGGGCTGTTTCCATTCATGCTTCTTGCGCTTACCCGTGGGGTCTGTGTCCTGCCAGAGGAGTTGCCCAGGCTCCTCCATCAGAACCTCTCCCAGTGCTGGATTTTGCGCATGCCAGTGGGTCCATGAGCCAGTCCTACTCAGTTCCTGACTAGCTTTCGACCCAAGCTGGTTCTTGTTGTTGGATATTTCAGCCCAGCCAAGGCTCGTCCAGTCCATTCCCACATATGGCCCCCCAGGAGCCTATTCAGGAAAACAGAGCCTAAGTCCTTGAATCATCTACTGCCTTCCAGTGTCACATGACAAGGAAGCTGGAGCAGCTGGGGACTCCTGCAGGGGCTGTGGCTGTCTCAGAAGCATTTTAGCTGCTGTGGGAAATGCCCACCCCCCTGCTTGTCTTGGTGTAATGCTGTAAATTTCCCTCTAGGAAAGATGATTGAAAGTTGGAGACACAGAAAGGGGATACAAATGCTCTCTCTGAGATTTAAGAACTCGGCTAAGCTGTAACCATGTAGCTAGGTCAGACAGACCAGAGACCACAGCGCCCCCACCAGGATGCTGACAAAGTAGCGCCTCCCTTTGCTGTCTTAGGGCTGAGCTGTTGGTACAGCGGGTAAGATGCCACTAGGGACACCCCCATCCCATAGCGGAGCCCAGGTTCAAGTCCCGGGTTTCCTGTGACCCCAGCTTCCTGTTACTGTGCACTTTGGGAGGCAACAGTGAGGCCTAAGGACAGTCTTTACTTCTTTCCGTGAAATCTGCCTTTCAAATAAAAATAAATAAAACTTAAAGAAAAAAAAGATGAAACGTGGGATGCTGAATCCTATCTGAGTGCTTGGTTTAAGTCTTGGCACCGCTTTTGGCCACGCTTCCTCCCAACACACAGCACCCTCCTCTGGGACAACAAAGGAGGGCGGACGTGGACCCACATGGATGCAAGGCTCTGGCTTCGACCTGCCCCGACGCCAGGTGCTGTGTGCATTTGGGGAATGAGCCAGGGGATAGGAGACACTCTCTCTTTCAATAAGATGAAAAAATTTCAAATTAATAAAAATAATGTTTCTTAGACTTTGTTTTATTTTTATTGGACAGTCAGATATACAGAGAGGAGGAGAGACAAAGAGGAAGATCTTCTGTCTGAGGAATCACTCCCCAAGTGACTGCAATGGCCAGAGTTGTGCTGATCCAAAGCCAAGAGCCCGAAGCGTCTTCCAGGTCTCCCATGTGGGTGCAGTGTCCCAAGGCTTTGGACTGTCCTCAACTGCTTTCCCGGGCCACAAGCAGGGAGCTGAATTGCATCAGGGCTGCCAGGATTAGAACTGGCACTCATGTAGGATTCCGGTGTGTGCAAGGTGAAGACTTTAGCCACTAGTCTACTGTACTGAGCCCATTAAATATATAAAAATATGTGTTATCTCTCCCTCATCCTGTGGTGCTTTCTGTTCACAGGCCCAGGGACTCCCAGTCTGGGTGACAGAGGGGTTAATTGTGGGCTCTCAGAGAACACAGACGCCTTTGACCTTGGCTGTGCCCTGTCTGGATGTGAACAGCGGGAGCTGAAACATCACAAGCTGAGACTGCAATGACTGCCCCTCCCCCCGACATCCCAGCTAAACAGGAGGGTGCCCAGGGCTTCATACAGCTGACCAGGTACCTGACTCCCTCCCACAACCCTCAGTACCTACTGAGAGTCCCACCTACTCCTCAGCACCCTGGGAGAAGGTCAGAGGTCAGCAGTGGAGTGTGGCTCAGAACTGGGTGCCCGTGTTTCCCATCTCCTAACTACTGGGGATCCCAGGTGAGACTTCTGTAAGAGGGGCCAACTGCACTGGGGGCTGTGCCGCAGCCAGGTACGATCAAAGAAACCAAGCAACAAAATGAACACAGGGAGATGGGAGCCCAGGGCTGAACCCAAGTGAGCTTTGCTGCCCAGGCCCCATGCAGCCTCCACTGCCTTGGCCCATGAGACAGCACAGCCTGACCACCTCTGAGTCCTGTGATGGCAGGTGTTGGTGGGCATTTCCTACCACAGAGACCAGGACACTGGGGCAGCTAAGCCGGGTCAACAGTGACCATGACAAAGCCTAATGGACGGAGCTCTGCTTGGGCACAGCCTCGCCCTCACCCAGAGCCTGCCAGCCTCTCCTGTCCCCATCTGCAGCTGACTCAACACAGCAAACACATAGAATCTGGAAGGTTCTAGTTGCTTCTGTTTATTTTCACCACAAATTGTAGGGATTACCTCCTTTAATTATCTCACCAAGACCTCAGAGAGGAATTGGAAAAAATGATTTGCTGTTCAGATCTGCACAGGGAAGGATGAAGCTGCAGCAGGTGCACCTGACTTGAGTCAGGGATGGAGGTGCCCACGCTGGGCTGGGAGGGCCAGGCTCCCACCTCACACTGTGCCCATAGGAACACACTCAGCTGCCTGTGCAGGAAGGGAGGGTGGGACTTTTTGAAGTCACAAGGATGAAGACTTGACCAAGTCTGTCCCAAAAAGGCAGTTGTCTCACATTACAGAAACAGGGTAACAAATTCAGGTCACTGTACCTGGAGACAGGAACAGCAAAGCACACATGAAAATGTGCGAATACAAGGAATCCCTCAGCCCCTCTGTGTCCCCTCAGCAATGGCCACTCTCCCCTTGAGGCCCTCCAGGTCTTACCTTTCAGGCTGTGAGAGAGCAGTCAGAGCCCTGGGAACTGTCACCACCTGGGAGAACCAATTAGGACTTGGTGAGAGCCCAGGATGTGACTGACGGAGCAGCTACCAGATGGACTGCTCCAGGGCCATCTGACTTGGCAAGGGCCTTGGGGCTCCTCCACCCTCAAACACACCCCAGTGCTTACCTGCAGCCTTAGTGTAGTTTCCTCCTTTCCCACCTGTGACAGAAAACAACTAGTGAGAGGCAGGGAGAAGGCAGAACCTGACATGCGCAGAGGAAGCCCAGAGGACTGGCTCATCTCAGAGAAGATTCCAGAACTGTGGCTGGCAGACCCAGGAAAGGGTCAGGAGGTGCCTCTCCTGTAGCTGGGACCTCCCCCTGACCTGGGACTGCTGAAACTCAGGTCCCCATGAGCAGAGTCATCCCCATGGAGTGTTTGTTCTCCACCTTCACTTTTGTTTCACACCAGAGCCAGTGTGAGCACCCGGGGCTCAGCTGGGGGTGCAGGTGTGTGCAGGTTGTTTCCCAGGTTTGGGAAGGGAGACTTTCCCACAGGGGACAGGAAACCCCGCCCCCGCCCTCACCCTGCCCTACCTGATCTTTTTCTCCTTATCATCACCACAGCTGTGACCACAGCTCCAATGAGCACAGCTGCCAGGAGGACCAGGCCAGCGATGACTCCCCACACGGGCACAGTGGGCTGAGGAGGCTCTGAGAGGGGAAGGGAGGGTGAGGCGCTCTGACCCCAGATCTCAGCCCTGCCCCTGATGAAGGCTCTGCCCCTTCCTGCCCTCCTTACCCCATCTCAGGCTGAGGGGCTCAGGCAGCCCCTCATGGTACACCTGGCAAGTGTATCTGTGCTCCTCTCCAGCAGACACCAGCACAGCTGCCCACTTCTGGAAGGTTCCATCGCCTGCAGGCCTGGTCTCTATCAGCTCTGTGTCCTGGGTCAGGTCTTCCCCATCCCGCTGCCAGGTCAGTGCGATGTCCTTGGGGTAGAAGCCGAGGGCCCAGCACCTCAGGGTGGCCTCTTGGTCAGAGATGGCGTGGTGGGTCACATGTGCTGTGGGTGGGTCTGAGAGAAGACTTGAAAAATTCAAACCTTTTGTGTTCTTTAAGGGGCAGCAAAGCTACATTCAGTGGGCATCTTGAGAGTGGACAGGAGGACTGGGGCGTGGGGGGAGTGCCCCTGCCCAGGTCCTTTCTCTTCGATAAGGCAACAGTGAGCCTCTGGTGCTGCCCCAAAGCCCAGGAGGGTATAACCGCTGAGGAGAGGTGGACACTGGCTGGGTCCCACTTTCTTCCCCTCTTTAAATCCAGCCCAGCCCCGCGCACCTGTGCGCTTCAGAGTCTCCTGGCCCATCTCCAGGTATTTGCGCAGCCACTCCACACACCTGCCCTCCAGGTAGGACCTTTGGTGCTGTGCATAGCCTGCTGCTTCCATCTTTTGCTTGGTGATCTGAGCTGCCACATTGGCCGCGGTCCAGGAGCGCAGGTCCTCATTCAGGGCGATGTAGTCAGTGCCGTCGTAGGCATACTGCCGGTACCCGCGGAGGAGGCGCCCGTCCTCCCCGACCTCGCAGCCGGACATCCTCTGGATGGTGTGAGAGCCTGTCCCGCCCGCGGTCAGCCCTGGCCACGCAGCTCCGCCCCGCCCTCACCGACCCGCGGGGATTTCGCCCGAAACTGAAAACGAAACCCGGTTGCGCCCCGCGGGTTCCTCTCGTCGAGGGTCTCCGCGGGGCGCGCAGTCTCGGGGTGGGGGACCTCGGCCCCGGGGACCCGGAGCGCCCTGGGCGCACGTGGGGAGGGGTCGGGTCACTCACCCGCCTTGCTCTGGTTGTAGTAGTGGAGCAGGGTGTTCAGGCTCACGCGGTTCATCTGTGCGTTGTCCTTGCAGATCTGCGTGTTCCGGTCCCAGTACTCCTGCTCCAACTGCTGCATCCACGGCGCCCGCGGCTCCATCCTCGGGTTCTCGGCGTCGCTGTCGAAGCGAGTGATCTGCGTGTCGTCCACGTAGCCGACTTCGATGTAGCGGGGCTCCCCGAGGCCGGGCCGGGACATGGCAGTTCTGAAATACCTCAGGGAGTGGGAGCCTGGGAGAGAAGGGTAGAGATCGGTGCAGGACGCCGGGAAACGCGTTTGCTGGGACGGCTGGGGGGAAGGGTCCGAGGGGTCGCGAAACGGAAAAGGGGCGGCGGGGAAGGGTCTGTGTGAGGGGAGGGCCGAGGTGGGGACGTCAGCGCAGGGGGCGGCGAAGTGGTGACCTCCAGGGGTCCTGTGTCCCCTCCGCGCTCCCCTCGCTCCTGCCCCGCAGAGCCCGTCTCCCTCCCGACCCGCACTCACCCGCCCGGGTCTCGGTCAGGGCCAGGGCCCCCGCGAGCAGCAGGAGGAGGGTCCGGGGCGCCACGGACCCCATCCTGGGAGTCTGGGGAGACTTTGATCTCGGTGACTTAGTGTCGACTTAATAACCTGGATCTGGCGGCGCTGATTGGCTCGTCGGGAAATGGCATGTCCAATGGGAGTGTCCAGGTAGAAGGAGCTTACTCCAACTGGGAGAGGAAAGTGAGGTGGGGGACTCACCACCTTGGCTTCCCTGGCCCAGACCTGCCCTGGCACTGAGACCCTGAGGGCCACGCGGGGACCCGGGACTGTGCCCTAAGCCTGTGCCATCCTTCTTTCCTGGCTTCCAACGCCCGCAGCTTCTTCCGGGTCTACGTGTGGGTGCAGAGTCCCACGGCTTAGAGCTGTCCTTTCCCAGGCCACAAACAAGTAGCTGGATGGAAGTGGAGCTGCCAGGATAAGAACCGGCGTCCTTATGGGATCCCGGTGCGTGCAAGGCGAGGACTTCAGCCACTAGGTTACCGCGCCAGGCTCCATATTAATTCTAATCCAGAAACATGGAATATTTTTCCCATAGTTTGTGTCTTCTACCTCTTTCATTAATGTTGTATGGTTTTCATTATAGAGATCTTTCACACCTTTGGCTAAATGGAGCCCAAGGTGTTTCATTTTTTTTTTTTGCAGCTGTTGTGAATGGGAAGACCTGGTTCACACAGGGGCTGAAGCACATGTCCTCATGTGTCTGCCTCTCAGAGATGTGAAGTTCAGGTTCCCCAGTTTCTGAGGGAGCAGGAGCGTCTCCTATCAGATCCCCCCAGGAAGGATTCTGGGCTCCTGTCTGATCTGCTGCAGCCAAAAGCCTGAGGAAACCAGAGCTGGGATTGAATTATGGCAAATGCCCTCCAAATAAAAACAACTTTTCCCTGTGAATGTCTGTACCCTTTATTTATTGTTGTAAATGCTTATTCTCTTGTTTATTCAGTGTTGTAAATTCTTTCAGATTTCCCCTATTATTCTTAGTTTTCAGTGGATGAGGCCATCCTAAGGGCACATGTGAGAGACAAAACTGCCCTCATTTGTTCCTGGGAAGTGAGCCAGTGGAAGGGAGCCTCTCGTGGGTCTGTCAGTCTTCACCTCTCAAACAGATAAATAATCTTACAAGAAAGACACTGTAAGGAAAGCTCCATGGACACCTCCAAGGAAGGGTCGGGAAGAGCCCCTGGACTGGCCATGCAGTCAGCTGCTGGAAGGGGCTGCAGCCCAACTCCACTGGGACACAGAGACCCTGACACCAGGACCCTTGTAGACCTTGCGCTCATCTGGCTGTTCCTCTGTGACCTTGGTGTAGACTGTAACAAGGAGTACAACACCTGCCTGGGTTCTGTGAGTTTTTACAGAACATGATCCAACCTGGGAGGAACATTGTAGAACCCCCAATGTTGTGGAACTCCATTGATCAAAAAGCAGATGACCTGGGGACCACTCCTGCAGCTGGTCTGGGAGGTGAGGGCAATGTCATGAGTTGGGCCTGGAGCCTCCGGGTCAGACATTAACTGCAGGTGTCCCTGCCAGGATCAGGGCACGACACCCAGTTGGTGTCAGAGAATCAGAGACCTGCTTGGAGGGAGGGAAAAGCCCCTCACTGACCCATGCAGTGGAATTCAGAGGGAGTGTTAGCAAGTGAGCCTCCACCTTGTCTCCTCCAGAACAACAGAAGCATTTCCAGCACACCTCAGAGCTGTTTAATTCAGGACCCCCAGGCTGTGAGTGGGGAGAGCATTCCTGGAGCAGGCCCAAGGCCAGGGTTAGAAGTGTGAGCTGTGCCCTCTGTGCCCAGCAGCAGGGCTGTGGTTCCCAGCTGGGACCTCCCAGGGTGAGGCCATGGATTCTGCTCCTGGCTGTGCAGCCTCAACCAGGGTCTCTGTATTTCCTCTGCCTTCAGTCAGCTACAGTGTCACACAGCCAAGGGAAGGGTAACTTAGCAACTCCTGGATTTCACTGTGGGCTTCAAGGCGTGAGAATCTGTGTGGGGCACTGTGTGAGTCAGGTGGATCCTGGGAGGTTCTGCATTCTCAGCTGTGGCCTCTTCCTGAACCTTCCTCCTGGGCTGCCCCACCAGGAGAGAGGACACTATGTGTCTCCAACATCCTGTGCTGTCGCTGACCACCTGTGCCCTTTATATCCTCCCTGATGGAAAGCCATGACGTAGGTGTGGGCACTTGGCACAGGGGTAAAAATGAAGCTTGGTATGCCCAATCCAGTTTCAGTGCTCTGTTTGTGTCCTGGTACCACTTCCAACCCAGCGCCCACCCAGTGCATGACCTGGAAGGCAATGGGTGGTGCATGAGGGCACCTGGACTGAGTTCTGGGGCTCTCTGCCCATGGGCCCAGGGGTTCCCAGTGTGAGTGACAGTGGGTTTGATTGTGGGTTCTCAGAAAAGCAGGTGCGTTTGACCTTCGCTGTGCCGTATCAGGATGTGAACACTGGGAGCTGAGAACATTAGAGGCTGAGACTGTAGTGACTGCCCCTCCCCCTCGACATCCCAGCTAAACAGGAAGGTGCCCGGTGAGGGTGGGGCCTCCCTGGGAACCATAAAGCTGACTTGGACTTGGGATTCCCCGCCCCTGTCCAGCAGCTTGACAGAGTCCTGCCCAGCCCAGCATCCCAGGGACAGTCAGAGGTCAGAGGAAGGTGTGACTCAGAACTGGGTGCATGTGCTTCCCACCTCAGTAGGCTGGAACACCATAAGTGAAACTGTTGTTAGCTGTGCTGCCTGCACTCAGATCTTTGTCAGAGCAGCCCCTCGCTGTGTGGAGCCCAGGGTCCAGGTGTGACCATCTGCAGGGCAGGCTGAGGCCCAGGTCAGAGTCCTGTCTCCTTGCTGCCAGCTTGTGTTCTGGGGGTGGCACCATTAGCACCCACCTGAGCCATATGCAGATCCCCTACCTATTACAGACTGTGTAAGCCCTCCCAGTGTCCAGGAAATTCCCCTAGCATGTATGTGGTCCCTGGTTCCCACAGTGACCCTAGCCCTGCAGCTGCTTGGGCAGTGAGCTTGGTTCCCCCCAACACACTTAGCCATGCAGGCCCAGGACTCAGTCCTGTGCCCACTCTCGTCACAGCCAGACACTTCCTGGGTGCTCTGTCTCTACTCCTGATGGAAAATGTGGTTCATGTGTATCCGCCTTCCGAGTGCTTCTCCTACAGACATTTCTCTTTAGCTCTTGACTCGTGGTCACTGTCAGCCCTGCAGTGTCATTCACTTACGGCCAATCACCAGGCTCCCACTGCTTCTGCACTGATAGCCTTGGGGACCCTCCTTGGATCCACCCTCCCAGGTCGCCCTTCTCCCACAGTGGTGCCATCT